TATAACCGTTGGGATACTTTCAATCATCTATTATCTGGCCGGACTACTTCGTATCCCACAGTCCTATCAGATAAAACTACGCAAACTGAATGTGACTGGTCAGCTTACAGACAAAACTGCTCAACAGTATAAAAGTACTTAACACTGGTTTTTATGAAAAGTGTAACAGCAGAAGTTTTACGAGTGGAAAAGCAGAAAAAAAGGGAGAAACTCACAAATAATTTCTCTTGGAAAATTTTCTTCGTCTCTGCGAACTTGGGGGTCATTTTTACCGTAGCATCAAGACGTCGTTTTTCTATGTCAAGTCGACTGAGCTGGATGTACGAGGAAAATAAAAGGAAGGCAGAGGATAAGGAGCAGCAAACATGACGGCTGGCTAGTGTCACTGAGCTTGTATAAATGATTTTGTGAAAAGACGTTTATTTAAAAGATGGACAAAACCCTCACAAATGATTTCCTCCAATGTCTTGTCTCTTGGACAAGAGAAACCTGCACCTTAACTGGATATTTAGGGCAATTTAGGAGGACGAGTCTCACTTTCATGGATTTTCATGGTCAATGAACAGTATCAGTAGCCACTAACTTTTATGAAAGAAGGGAGGAGCATTTTGGTTTAATTTGGAGAAAAAATTAAAATTGATTATGACCGTAGCCTCTTAGGCTAGGAAGAGCTCACGCACACGTCACTGACGGTAAATGAGATTTTTCACATAGAAAGTACACACTGAGTTTAAACCGAGCTCTCAAAATCGGATGAACCACTTGCAATTGCAGAATGCGCTAACACGCAACACAGACTCCATATTATTCCTGATGAAGTTAATTTGAGGACACTTTCAACCGCCCATCTAAAGTGTACGCGAATACAAGTAATTACGTGGGAACTATTATCTTTCAGTTGACCTTTGATATTTGCAAAACAGTAGTCTAAGACAGTTCTCCGGAAATGACATCACATTAAAAGATTCGAAGTTAAGGGAAAAATTTGTAGGTTCACAATATTTGAAGGAAAAGCCCAAATTTTCACTATTCTTCAGGGGTTGTGTTCCTCTGAATCAGAGGTTGGGAACCTTTTTAACTCAGAGAGCCGAGAAAGCAAATATTTGGAAAAATATTTCAGTGAGAGCCATATAATGTATTTTAAGATTGAATTCAACTAAATGTGAGCATAACAAGCCTCTGGATTTATTCACTGGAGGAACCAAAATCACAAAATTTGAAGTTTCTAATTTCAATTTTATCTGAGAGAGCCAGATGCAATCGTCAAAAGAGCCATACCTGGCTCGCGAGGCATACCTTTCCGAATCCTGCTCTAAAAGGAATGCATCGGTACTGCGTCAGACCAAAAACGGGGCCACGCCGACCTATGATGCGCGTTAATTAGACTACGTGGCGACTGCGTGAACCTTTAAACCATCACGGTAGATGCATAAAGAGGCATTAAATAGTGGATTCAGGCAATGCTGGCTATTACAACTAGTCTCCTAAAGCGCCTTGAAAAGTCTTCAGTGCACGAGGAGGTAGACAAAGTGAGACCATTCAAATTCATGAACCCTGTGAGCTACCGAACGACCTTACAAATTATCACTATGCCCTAACAGCCGTGGATTGGGACATCGTCAGCTGGCGGGATTATTCGACCCTACCTTGCACAGAGGATTATGCTGCAATGCCGTTCTCTTAATGTGAAACTTACGGGGATTTCACCGGTATGAGCTCTAAAGCTGTCCACTAGAACTTGGTATATGCGAAGCCGGGGGGAGGTAGGGGTGGGGGGTCAGGTCATGTGCGATACAAAAGACGAGCTGTTTGACTCCGCCAGCCAGCTCCAATGATATTAATTTAGTCTTCTTGTCGGAACGTGGCAGGTATGGAAACCAAGAACAAAATAGATCAACAAAAGGCCGGCCTCACTATAAACGAAGTTACACAGGAACCACCAATGTATCCTATCCAGACGGGTTATGGTTCGCATCGCTCGCGACAGGGCATCCTCTTAGAATGCCATATGCCACGTATGCCATAAAATCTCGTTAAAAAAAGTAAATATGCCTCGCTCTGTCCCCACGATCAAGCCATCAGTTGTATTAAATTCTTGTGTCTGTTTTTATGTGAGCAGTATTAATAAATACGACGATATTAGCCAAGACCAAGTACTCTCAGAGTACTTTAGTAAAAAAACAAGCTACTTTGTTTATTAAAGTACAACGTGTAAAAAAATATACGAAACTAAAATGGGGAACCAAGTTAACTGCATGAAAGGCTGTAAAAAGGAACGGGATAATAAAACATAGCTTACTTAACTGTCTGTCTTTAAACCTTATTTTCACAGATAGCTGACAAGGTTTACAAGTCTGTCTCAGAATGTCACCGGTTGGGACTATTATGTATACTTTTCCATATTGCAACATGAAGCAAGAAAGCTTTTTAATTTGGATGTGTGATAAGAGCTTCCAGTCAGTATTTCCTGAGATCCGACGCACAATAAAGCATAAAAACATACAAATGGACTATAATACCAGTAGATACTGGGGTCGTCGTTATCACTGGGCCTACTTTTCGAGGTTTTTGATGATCATCCATTGGTCGGCTCTCAAGTCCTTTGGAACATTATCCGAACACTTCCGAATACCAAGGCGTAACAATTTCAATGGTTTTCACATCATTAATCCGCGTCACATTCGTGACAGATCATGCTCCTTGTTGTTTATGTGAGCATGTTGCATTTTTAAAATAAATTATAGTTCTCCTATTGAAAGGAGGCGCCCTGGGTCAGTCTTCCTCTTCAACTTATTCTCGAGTAAAAGCCTGCAATCGTTTGAACGTTCGTTGTCCAGTTCCCTCGGGCAACATAAAGGACATTGACTTATGCTACTGTGAAGAAAATAAATTTGGTCTACAGATGACTGTGCAAAATTGGATTTAGTTATCCATCGAAATATCAAAAGAACTTACCTCCGAAAACACTTTGGGATCGATTGTAACTATGTACCTTGGCAGCGACATACGGGGAGAATCCACGAAAACCAGTCGATGACGAATTGTCTGAAGGAAGTTCTTCGGCAGAATCTCGGCATACTCACGTGAAAGGTACACTTTGCTGGCTAAAATTAAGGAGAAAATGTGTCAATATGCTGCCAGTAACTGCTAGTTGGTACGGAAACGTGAACTAAAGGCCATTTTTAACCAGAGGAAAAGGTCGCTAAATGCATCTGTAATGTATCCTAGGAAGTGTTATTGTAATTTCATCAGAATGTGAACCATTAGACAAATGCATGTTTTACGAACCAATGAGGGAGACTGTGCGTGATCACTACGAAACTAGTCCCTTTAATAAAGCACCTGCCTGGAAGTGAAATATCCGCTCTATTTGTGAGAGTAATGGTCTCAGGAACTCAACGGGCATGGTGACTCCTGGTGTAAACTTATTGGGACTGCCTCTATTTACACTATGAGTCATGACACATAAAGGCGCCTGTAGGAACTGCCACGCTGCTGTCATGAGAGCGCGTACCGTGGCTATCGATCATTCGTCGGATCTGATTGGCTCATGTCACCGACGCCGTCTCATCAAGCGGATCAATAAATATCCAGCACGCGCCGGAATTCGTGCAACCAAATAAGTACAAGAAATATTTTTCATGCATCTTTTGCATGGACTATATTTGAATTTATCAAGGCAATCAAAATCAATGATAAATACGCATTCTATTTAAGTAGTTACTTTTTACAATACATACGTTTTGTAAATGGTCAAAACGAAGCTCGTTAAAAAGCCCGCATCCTATCATGAGTGCAATAACTTCAGAATAGACTACCCGATAATCAGTATCACAACCTGAGTCAATGCCGATTAGCGAAAGAGTATCAATCTTTCGCACATGTCGGCGTGTTGCACAAATTCTGGGCGTATTGTACGTAGCCTTTTTGTGATAATGACCTACTGATGGCCGACTGCCTTCTCTTCCTCTCTCGTGCTAGCTTTCGGAATAACAGTTGATCAAACTCACAGCTCGTATTAATTACAAGGAGCAGGCGTGGAGCATAACAATTTGGCAACACAAAAGCGAACAAAAAGTTCAACCGATATAAGGTCATGAACACGAGACAAATTAAGTACGCTCGTCCTCCAGATGCTTTGGCCCGCGATTAGGCGGAAACAGACGCTACAAAGGGGAAAAGCAAAGTATAGGCAAATTAGGCAGTAAATAAATGAACCAAAAAGGCCTCAATGAACTAGGAAGCGTCAGGAGGTTGGAGTGATACACAGCCTGTGAGATAGTCGACACAGACGGAGGGATTCAGAAATGGTTGTACAACCCCTGAAGTAAGGGAGCCTAACTCCAAAAAATGTCACATGTGCCCGCCTATCTGTCGGTGTGCGGGATAGCTACATTGACCAGGCTTTTATAGCAAACCACGCGAGAAGCTTAACGGGTTCCTTCTGAACTTGACTTCGATGGTATG